CAAATTATTAAACAAATATAAATAATATATTATATATTTTATAGTAATTAAATTACATTAAAAATATGTTATGCCAAAAGAAATTATATATATTTTTTAATTATTTTTATAATGGATATTTGTAATTTTATGTGAGTTACAAATTAAAAAAGAGAAATAAAATAATAAAACAAATCGAGTGCCTGAAGGAGAATTGCATTACATGCACTAATGCACAAAATGATTATAGAACCATACACCAATAATTTGTTGTATTTTTGCTTTACATATTAATTATATATATAAATATATTTGTTAATAAATACCGTATACATACATACATACATACATATATATGCAAAATTATAATGATTAATAATTAAAAATAAGAAAAGATTAACAGCTTTGACATATTAAAATTTTGTCTGTCATTTTAATGATAATAAATAAATCCTAAAATTGATTTGTTTTAATTAATTTTTTTTAATTAAGATATAGTAAATTTTTAGTGCATTTGTAGATAAAGGTTATTATAGTTTAATATAAAATCTATTATTTGTAAAATAAGCAAAACCTTTAAATATATTACGTTTCCAAGCAAGTATTACCCAAAAATAACACATTATAATAGACCATTGCTACTTACGTTTGTGTAAAACGCTTAAAAAATCTTAACAATAATATCACCTCACAGAAAGATGTAGTATTATTATCATTAAGTTTGTAGTTTATGTACTGCGAGCAACAGATCTATAGAATCTACTTTACTGAATCTTACTTCTTAAACCGAAATAGGATGTTCATCTAAGCCATTGCTGCTTTGAAACATCTTTCCTTTCCCTACAAAACCTGCAAATTGCCATTAGAGTAGCTTGCCGGTTTTGAAAGGTTGAATTGTCACCTCACAGTTTTTCTGAACTATATAGTTGTACACAATCGTTAAAATGTTTTAGTCTGAACATTACTATAAGCAATTTTGATTGTTATAGCGCTGGTAGATTGTCGTGGTATAGCTATATACCATTTTTCTGATTGCGTGAGAAGAATTCCTAAGCAACAAAATTAATCTATATCTTTAAGCAGTGAAACTGCTTCTTTTTGAGCAATTTCGTTGCCGGATATTCCACCCTGTCACATAAAATCTGTGTCGCATTATTCTGGCCTGAGAACTACCGATATCAATAACTATACTTTGTCAACTGAGAATGTCAAACTGTGTTTCATTTCTGTTCAGTAATTTTTGGAAATTTATTATGAATCATTGTTAGAATAATGCGTTCAAATTGTAGAAATTTACTTTGGAAAAAATTAATCTGTTCGCAAAGTTCGTCGAAGAATTGTGTTTAGTGATGAAGCTTATTCCTGATTAAATGCGTACGTGAATAAACAAAATTACAGTATATGGAGCGAAGATAATCCTTAAACCGTTAACGAATCACCATTACATTCATTAAAATTAATTGCTTGTTGCGGTTTACACGCTGGCGGCATCATCGGACCTTATTTCTTTCGAAATGAGGAAGGAGCTGCCGTTACGGTGCATGGTGAGTGCTTAATTTTTGTTTTCAAAAATTAATCAGTTCAACATCGACGACATTTGCCATATAGCGCGCTTAACAATCGATTTATTGCGAAATAACTTTATTTCATGAAGTGGTCTTGTTAACTGTAACTGGCTCCCTCGTTAGTGCGATTTAATGCATATCGTTTACTTTTTATGGGGCTATGTTGTCATTGGTTTATGCCGACAAACAGCAACTCCTGAAGTATTGGAAGCCAATGTTCATGACAGACTGATCGAATGAACCATGTAACTCGTAACCGCATTAGACATATTCGTAGTCGTAAATCATATTCAAATATAAATGCCATGATATTATCTACCAGATTATAATAAAAATTTTATTTCAGTAATATTTCTGTCTTATATTATCATTTTAAGTTCTCATGCAGTTAAAAAAACATTTGATATATTCCGTTTTTCAATACACTCCGTCATCAGTTAAGTTTAGATTTCATTTGATAAGTATTGGGAGCTTTTATGGTTGCCTGGTTATCAGTTAGGATGGTTATTCCATGGTTCTAATAGATACGTTTAAGATTAAAGTAAACGCTGCTATATATTGTCTAAATACGATATAGTATAAAAAGAAGAAATAAAATTAAAACATTACCATATTATCCATTAAAAAATCATGAATACTGTAGTACTTCTGTTTTCAGTTATCGATTATGAAAATGGACGAAAATTGCGCTGTCCATAATAATCCTTTTTTGGTAACTGATAGTGTGATTTTTCAATACACAGAAGTTATAAGAGAGATATTCGTTAATTGAAAGCTTATTTACACTGTCACAAACACCACATCACCATAACGAATATTTAGTTCTCATTTTTAGAGTCCACTTTCATTAGAAACAATTTTAAAAGGTGAGTTAGAATTGAACTCACCGCCAACTCCCAACGGGAGATTTTAGTAACAGTATTAAATAGAAGGTGTAATCATGTCGATGCTCAAAGGCGAAACCACTAAAAGACGTTAAAAAGATTATACAAATCACTGTCAATACAAATCACTGCACAGATTGGAGGGCCCCAGAAACAAATACATACGTATATAGTTGTTTTCAACAAAAATAAAAATACGGTTATAATCTTTAATTTAGTTTTATTAATTTAATAAATTCATTTATTTGGTATACCATAAAAATAAAATAATGTAGTTTTACCAGAACACAAAAAGAAAATTTGCGTATTTTTGGTAGATTAAAAACATGTCGCAGACCCCACAAACATTAGCCGCGGGGCCGTGTTTTGGACAGTCCTGGTCTAAAATATAGTAAATGTGTAAGCTTTAGTACTGTAGTCTAAGAAATGATTTCTCAAAGAAATAATTATTTCTCATAGAAATATTTCTAAACACAACTGATGAGATGAGTATTTGACAATATTTGAAATAAGTCTATGGACAGCCTAAAATTTAATTTATTAAATTAAATAATTTAAATAATTTAGTGTCGTAATAATAGGGTATTATGTTCTCTGCTTTACAAATTTATTTATTTTTTTTTGATATTAGGTGGAAAGCATCTAAAGCTACAGTGTGAGACTTGAACCCACTAAAATCACCCCTTAGGAATGAATTGAGAAGATTTCTGCAACATTGAGGAAAGTTTGCTCCAATAATCAGGGGAGAGAGATGTGAATATTAAGGCTTAATAGGCAATATTAAAATAATTTCATCATATTTAATTAAAAAAAAATTTGTTTTTTAATTATTATTTTGAACATAATTTCAATTAAGATTTTCATTATAATTGCTCTCTTAATATTATGCCTTTGTATTATTTGTATTATTTTCTATTACTTCTTCGTAAATCAGTATTGAAATAGAATATAAATAGAAACTTCTTCCGACCCTTAAATTACATAAAAATTTTATTTAAGCTCTTAAAATAGAATTCAATAAAATTCTTTTCGAATAGTAATTGATTGAGAAGGAAGTAAAGCCTTCTAAGTGCAAATGTAATTAGTACATTAGGAATATATCTGTGGCACTGCTGCAGCGACTTATAAACAGTATAAAAGGAGTTGATCGCTAACAGATAGATAGTAAAAACGAAAATGTCTTCAATGCGCAAACTTCTTGTGGCTGTTGCTATCTTTATGCTCTTGGCTTGCGTTAAGAGCCAGGTCGGTTGTGTGATATTTAATATATTAATATTATAATATATAATAATAAAATGGAATAACAATAACAAAAATAAAAATAATTTTAAGTTTTTAAAGACTGACTAAATCTTTGCAGCTCACATTCTCTCCCAATTGGGGAAAACGCACTGTGGGTGTTGCTGGAAGTGGTGGTGGTAATGGTGGTGCTAGCTCATTTTTTGAACCGCAATCTGGAAATTGTAAGACATCAAATGAAATGCTTTTGGAAATATTCCGATTTGTTCAAGTTAGTAGAGTGTAACAGTTTTAATTATATTTAATTATTTAATTGAATTTATATATATATATTTAGTCTCAAGCTCAACTATTTTTGGATTGTAAACATGGCGAATAAATATATATCAATATATTTTAATATTATTTATTATTTATTTGTTATGCACATTGAAAATCGATGTTGTCTGGATTAGTTTTAGAGGAATTGTAATAAAAGCTGTTTAATTTATAAATAATATAATAATTAAATAAATATTGTAACTCAATTGCAAATGAAACATTTTGGGTTTTACTTTTTTTCTTTTTATAGGTGGTCCAACTAAAAAGTACCGAAAATTTATTATGACTCAGAAAAATTGAGTATATTTTCAATGTCAATGCTAATTTAAGCAAAAAACAAAAAAAATTGAAATTATTTAATTAAGTTTTGAACTGTTATTATTAAATTAAATAGAATAAATAATGAAATATTAAATTGAAATATACTATTCAAAAAAGATACGAGAGAAAAGTATATTCGGCATTAGCAAAATCTTGCAAGAACGTTATGGTTGGACCATTAACCCTTTATTAGATAAAATTATTTTTAATTTCTTTCATTTTCTTAATCAAGCACCTTAGGATATTATTGGTAAAATACTCTACCTAAGTTTTATTATTATAAGTGGCTAGGGATAGTGGTTAGGGTTTCTCATTTTAAAGTGTATTCATTTTGGTAAGGGATTTCGCGGCCTAAAGTCGTATAGAAGAGTATCAAATTGTTATATTACAAGATACAGGACGTCAAAAGAAACTTTAGACAAAAAATATATTCAGTCATAAAATCTCTTAATCTAAAATATCTTAGAGGAAATAAATGGAAACTTTATTTTTGCAGATCAACAAGGGAAATAAATGAATATATAAGGCAAGTCCTCAAGGTCTCCATTGTCTGCAGAATAAAAATTGTTTTGTGACGTTAAATCGTGTCATTGGTTTATGCAGGCAAGTTAATTATGATTGCAGCTTTGGAAGCACAGACATGGTACGCCATTTGAGAGATACTACCATAGATATTCGAAAAAGTTGTCTAAAGTTCATACTCCTAAGTGAATAGTTCATTTTGGTTAATTGATTAAAATCATTTTTAGTCATTAGTTATTCCGCACGCTAAACCGTTTTAATTCTGTTCTCAACATTAACTGCTAACCGCTTACCTTATCTCAACACTTTTCTTTGTCAAAATATTAGATATTATAATGGTGTCACTAATAAAGTTTGGCAGTGAAAATATTTTTTATGACAGTATAAATATTTTTATTTTTTTTTTTAATAATAGAGTTAAGTATAATCAAAGTTCATTGGCACTCCATGGATACTATTTTTTTTTAATACTGTGTTTATATTTAACATCATTACTATCAATTTTCTAAACGAGATTATAGAATGGAGAACGAGATATTTAATGGACTGGGAGAAGATTACACATAAACATAACCACATAATTATTATATGAGTATTATGCTATAATTCTTATAGTTTTATACTTAGGATTCCTAGAGCTATAACAAGAACAAGAATAAATACACTTGTTGAATCCCGGACTTCATCCGGCTAAGCACATCCCTAGCTTAAAATGACCTGCTAAAAGGATTTATTACACTTCATATAATATCATGACAGTACGATGAAAACGTTTCTTATGCATTATCACTTTAATAAAGAGACAATAGATATATAACAGATCACTGCGTATTGCTCAATGTTTGCTCATTTTTACTAGATCTATATATAATTAAGTTTTTTTTCGCTGGTTTAAAAATTTTAAAATCAAAAAATCTATTATGATTGAATGAGACAAAACAGTTACACATACTTCCATCTTATCTGCTCGTGTTTAGTTGTCAGAAGTCACAGCTTCAAACCGTTTTCGTTAAATGAAGTATAGAGTTTTGAACCAAGGGATATTGCAAAGAGAATGAATAGCCTTAATTTATAACAGTTGACATGAAATTCTCTCTTCAGGAATAGCAAAATATATCTCATAGTTCAAGGTGTTCCATTATCTATTCTATTCTTATAATAATATTTAAAAAAAAGATATTTAATATGATAGAAATTTATTTACTTATATCTAAATATATATTAATAGAGATATTACCGTTAAAATTTTTATAAATCTGTAATAATCACATAATTATGATATGTTTTCCAATTTTCAAGTTCAGTTGGGCTCAAGTACTTCACACCGATTTTTTGAAACACTGATTAAGCTTTTGTTATGTCGTTAAATAAATTTATTTTAAATTGCTGTAATTATTTGTTTAGTTTTACACAATTTGTTTTTATGTTTAATTTTTTTCATTGTTATCAAGTGTTTTTATTTGAAAGGTGAGCAAATAAATTTTTAAACTTTATTCCCGGTTCAGCGGTTTGCTTAAAACAACAAGATCAGTAATATCCAGCGCTCTTATGACAGATATATAAGTAGTTAGTGAGTTTTAACTTGAACGGTTATTAAAGGACATTCATGTAATATGTTTCCTAATAAATTTATAAAAATAAATTTTAAAGATTTAATTCTATTGTGTTTGATTGGATGGTTAAGTGTTATAAAATGTGCGAGTAAGTTCTATAATAATAATAGTTAGAGTTCAAAATATTGGATTTTCAATAACTCTATTAAATAAAAATAATACACGATTTAATTTTTATTTTTTTGAATATTTAATACATCATTAAATTTTTTTTTTATAACATTAATATTATTGTGTGAAGACTTTGGAAATGCTTCACACAACTCTCTGAATAGAAAAAAATATTAATTTATTATTATTATTATTAATATTAATTTATTAATTATATATACGAAATTATCATAAACCTTGAAATGATCTGCAGAATCATAGCTTTTGATTAAACTCAGTAGTATTTCATTATAAAAAATTATTAATAATAAAAAAAAATAATAAAAAAAAATAAATGCAAAAAGTCATTTAAGCATTACAAGAATATTATATATAATACGTAATTTATCTGATATAACCAAAAATATGATACACTTAAAGACATAATAAGACTAATAAGCGGGACAAATGTACCTCTGCTAATAACTATAACCAAACCAAAAAGATACATATAATATTTAAATAGTTCATTTATTTATAAAAAAAAAGTAATAAATTAATTTTTAAATCTTTTTTCAAATGTTATAGAAAAAATTTTGTCTAAACATTTTAAATAAATTATTTATGTATCAAGCCTTGATAAACTCGGCTGATACACTTAAGCATTCACGACATTCGAAACCAAATATTGTTTTAAGTTATATTAATTACACTGTGCGACTCTTAATATAGATTTCTATATTTCGGTTAATTTAACACAGTTAGACTTAATTCTACAATCTGTTTAGTAGAAAATTTACCGAAAACACAAAATTCGTATCTCAATAATTTAAAATTTTTTTAATCTCATGAAACCTCATTATTTCAACTTTAACCGGTTATTGCCAAAGACCCGGATATCTAGCAACAAAAAGGGTTACAGATTTCAGCTTAGTAGCCTCGAAATAATAGTAAACCGTTGATCGGTTTACTTTACTTTAGTAAAGTACTTTAGAAAATAATTTATTTTTATCAGATAGTGTTATTTATAAGGTTCTAGAGGATACTGATTTGAAAAAACTTAGAATTAGAAGATATACGGAAAGATTCTTCAGAAGTGCTGAGCCATTTTTAGAAAAATATCTATTTTGGCATAAATTAAAAAGAATAACAATCATCAAACTTGTGGATTATTTTGTTGACCAAAAAAAAAAGTAGACGGATTATTCTGAGCTCTTAGAAACAGAAATGTAGTATTTTAGTATTTTCAGGAGTATTCATAAAAGAGCTTATGAAAAGGAAAAAAGGGTTCTAAAAAATCTAAATGTGATAGTTTGCTAGCGTTTATGAAAATAGAAATCTGCTTCCAACAATAAGTAAAACCTGGACGGTTGACAGGTTTCCAGTATTTTTTTGTTTATGGATGAGCACATTTTTAAAAATTCATTCAATTCATGTCTTCTTAATCTAATCAAATACTGAATTGAATTAAGATCTATTATATCAACCTTGCAGTCACCACATATATGAATTAGATTGTAAGTTTGCTTATAAAACTATGATTACTATATCGTCTAATACTAAAACAGGTTGGGTCAATATAGATATTTCTAAACATAGTGTTAAAATTGAGGAACAATTTGTTGTAAACAGTATAGGTAAAGACACATAGATTGTACTTTATTTTATTAATTAAAATTGTTATTCAACAGACCAGAGATGACTACAAAGAGCTGTTTAGTTAGTTATTATTACATTTTGATTAACTAATGCTTTTCATAATACAGTTATTGTTTTTATAAGGGACAAATATACACTGTAATATCTCTTGTACTATCCCAATAGAGCATTTCTTAAGTTAACCTAGACAGATTAAGGCAGTTGATAAACCTAAAAATGTTTTTTAGTTTTAGTTCCCACATCTCATGTGATTCAAAGAAACTCGAATAAAAGTACTATACTTGTTTCCGGGCAATTGCAAGGACCGAACTAAATGAATTGTGAAAGTTGTTTGTGGCTTGAAAATATTTGTTTTTCGAAATTATTTGTATTGCAAGAAATTGAAGATACTGTATATCCCTTGGTATGATGCTTTCTAAACCTGCAAAACTCCATTTCAGCATTTAATGTTTTTAAAACACCGTTATTTTTACAAATAATAAAATAATTTATTGTGTTGATGACCAAATATTTTTAATAATAATTTTGTTTTTTAACGGGTCAATAGTTCAATTGGTCAATAGTTTAATAATAAATTTTTTAAACAATTTTTTGTTTTCAAAAGATTCTATTCTAACCGAAATAGTCAGTTATCGGTATACCAGTCAAAATATCGGTTAGAATAAAATCCTTTAAAAATCAAAAAATTATTTCAAAAAGTTTATTATTTAACCAATTAGCCCGTTAAAAAATAAAATTATTATAAAATAAAAAATAAAAAAAAAATAACTAGAAGTAATAAAAAAAAACAATTGTGAACATTTGGGGTATTTTACAGAAAAATTGGACGCTTTATAATTTTTTGAAAATACCTGGCCATTCAAAAATTTTAAAGGTTCCTGACCAAAGGAAAGGAAATATATATTAAGGCACTTTAAAAAAGACT